GGGGCGTGGCGGGGCGTGGCGGGGCGTGGTAGGTCGTAGCGAGGCCTGGCGGGCCGCAGCGTGACAGGGCGGAGCGTGGGCCGTGTCGGAGCCGGGGGCGCCATCACAATCCATATCGAGCTTTTATTCAGCGTTACCGGCTGAGCCTATAAAAGAGCGGCCTCGTCTTGATAAGGGACGAGGGAAGGGGAGATGAGAGGGAGAGAGAGGGAGAGAGGGGGAGAGAGGGGGAGAGACAAAGAGGGAGGGAGAGAAAGAGAGAGGGAGAGAAAGAGAGAGGGAGAGAGAAAGAGAATGCATGCGGAGGGAGAGGAGGTGGGAGACGCCCACTGTCCGTGTTTGTGCTTGACAATTCTTATTTTTTCTATGCCCATAATTTTCCGAGTGATCGAACGCGCTGCGCGCTTCCACGTTTAGCTGCAAGAGTGAATAATTACAGGACTAAACCGACCCCAGCCCCGCCTCTCCGCCCCCCTGTAGCGCGCCCAGCCAGCGCACGGCAGCGTATACAAGTTCGCAGCGCGCTCGCTACACTCCCCGCGGGAGGCGCCGCCCGCGACCTTGGCTTTAAAGTACAGTAGTAGCAAGTAGTAGTAGTCGTAGTCAGCTTGCAGTTAGTAGAAAGTTGGGAGATATTCTTGCAACAGCAGCGCGGGGGGCGGGACCGGCGCCACCTCGGCGCATTGGGCTTGCAACGGGACAAGCAGCACCAGCTCCAAAGAACAGTGGTGCAGGTGGGGCAAAGGGGGGAACGAGATGCGGGAGAGAACGGGGAGATGGGGCGGCGGGGATGCTCGGGGCCCCGGGGAACCAAGAGGAGCCACCCGCATTGATAAAGAAAATTATTGGACCCTTCCGGTGGCCGGATGTTTCTTTTGGGGCGCCTCTGCTGCTCTGCCCTCCGCCCTGCCCCGCCCCCGCACAGCTCGCATGATCTAGGCCTTCGTAAGGGCGGCTATGAAAGCCCATAAAGGCGAGGAAGTGTGGCAGGAACGGCCGCAATAGGCGATAAAAATACCCCCCACCCTACCCCTTTCAGCCCCCCGGTCCCCTCGTACACAGCGCCAGACGACGCGCAACGCCACATCAGCGAGTTGCACCCGAAGCTTCCCCCCGGGGAACGGCCCGGAGGCCCCGCCAAGCGCCGTCAAGACAGACCCAGACCCGCCATACCTACAGGCGAGGCCATGCAACTTGCAACCACGTTTTCTTCTCCTTCTTATATTTTGGTCCAATGGGGAAGTAACAAATACCTCTTCAAGTACATCACTAAAGGAGCCGCGCACCCTAAACACCCAAACGGATTTTCACCTCTATGGCTACATTGCAATCTGCACAATTTTTTTGTCATTATTTCTGCCCATATATAATCTATCTATAGATTATTTGAATGTTAAGATGCCCAGACAAAATCTTTTAAAGATTGTGCATGTTTAGTATGAGTGGTATGCTACGTTCATACAGCAATCTCCACCTCATGTCAATAAGTTCGTGCGCGACCCTCTGCTGCAGTGCGTCGTGCCGCACCATAAGGCACTATTGATCGTGTTCTCGCTTATAGGGAAACACATTTTTCATCATCATAATGACGGCATTGATGGTGACGGCGGGGGAGCGAAGATTGCAGCGATCCCCCGCCATACCGCGCAGCGCAGTCGACCCCATTTCCCTCCAAAATAGTTCGCGGTGATATTGATGCAAAAAACAACAACGGGTTTTCTAAAAAGATACTTTAAAAAAAAAAGAACCATGCGGCTGACCCACCAGACAACGAGAGCAGACACTCACCGTGGTCTTCTCCAGACACCGCAGCAGATGGTGGTGCTGTAGCTCGAAGATGTCCTCCTCCCTGTAGAGCTCGTCCGTGTCGAGGCCGCTCTCCGCCGCGGCCATCCTGGCCTCGGCCGCCTTCTTCTTGGACACGAAGGCCGCCCCCGAGGACGCCTTGGCGATGCGTATGCGCGCCAACCGCGCTTTCTGCAGACGGATACATAGAGTGTGAGAGTTGCATCAATGCAATTGGCACGTTGTTTGCTGGGATTGATGTTCATTGCAAAATTTTACAACGCATGGCAAATGTACGCAGGCATTGTTTGACGTCAATAATAATAAAAGCCCAAACTCTCTGCTAATCTTAGTGTGTAGTAGTTTGCCAGTTTAAACTGCGAAACTAGAAGTTTGCGAGTTTAAAGTGCAGTAATAAAAGTTCGCCAGTTCTAACTGCAGAACTTTTCAGTTCGCGGGTTTTAACTGTAGAACTCTTTTGTTCTGCAGTTCCAACTGTAGAACACTTTGCAATTTGTTGGTGCAGAACTAAACAGTTCTACAAATTAAACTAGCGAACTAAAACGTTGTGCAGTTACAACTGGCGAGCCAAAGAGTCCAATCGGTGTTTAGGTTCAAGTGTGCATTTTCTCGACACATTGTGGTGTTTAACTAGGTTAAACGTCAATTGGTTCTTTAAACTTTAAACACTTCCGAAAAGTATAGCAGCTGCACGCCATATGATTACTATAGATTTGTGTGCCGAATCTAAACGTTTACAAAACGTTTAAAATGTACACACCACGCAAGTGTGCAACTTGAGCTATGTAATGTTTACAATTATAACTTCAAATTATGCACACTTGTTTTACCAGTGTTCTCCAGTTTAAACTGAGGAAGTTTTAGTGAACTGGCAAAACTTTTAGTTCCGCAGTTTAAACTAGCAAACTACTACCCACTAAGGTTAGCAGAGAGTGACCAGCCGTCAAAATGATCTGAAAACGTTTGAAAAATATTTCGAGATTTAAAAAGAAAAAAGAAAAAAAACATTTTTGCTTATTTTTCTTACTTTTTCGCCTTTTTTTGTAAACTTTTGGCCCTATACCGATGCTTACCCGTTGCGCTTTCCTCTTGTCCGCCCTCTGGTTCTGATGGTAGATCCTCGAGAAGTTGGACACGATGACGGGGACAGGCAGGGCGATCACGAGCACTCCGGACAGAGAGCAGACGCCTCCCACAATCTTGCCGGCTATCGTCTCCGGGACCATGTCACCGTAACTGGAACACACCAGGGGCCAGAGAACGTCAGCAAACACACACACCTTCAAATACACCGCCGAGAAACGACACAGAATATAATATACACACTTATACACGGAATTGCGGAGTCGGGTAAAACATTGCAAACAGACATTTAAATACAGCACTGTGAACAATGTTTGAAGGTTTTACGCAGGAAATCATCATGTTACGAGTTTGTACTTTTCGCCAACTAAATTTAGCTGTCATACATTCACCATAAATTCAGCACATACGCTTTGTCACTCACAAAAAATTATGTTAATTCACTTTGAAATGTATAAATATGTTTTTCTCACTGCGAACAAAGAGAAGAAAACGACTCTTTCTCTTTAAGTTTTCATACTTTTTGTAATGAAATAAAACGATTAAATAACTGCCTCCTGCTTGCATAATCTGTCGAGTCTTCATTTAAACGATTCTCTCCCCCCCCCCCCCCCCCCCCCCCCCCCCCCCCCCCCCCCCCCCCCCCCCCCCCCCCCCCGCACCCCCCCCCCCCCCCTCCCCCCTCAGCTTCGGCGCGGCGCGCTCTCCACCGCATCAAGTCCCGATGTCGCGTCGTGTGTGGCATGCCCTTCCCTGTGCTCCCCGCTTGTACCAGTGTGCTTTAGTCGGAGAGCTTTTCGAGGGTCCGTTTGCTGGGGCGGGGCACCACGGGGCGGGTCGAGGTCTGCATGACTGGCTAGCGAGACGGCTTGGCTTCACATGAATATGCATGGGGGTCTGCGGCCGGGCCTCCCACCCCTTCCTTCCCCTGCTCAGCCCGATCGCTTGAGCTGCTCTCGCTCTGCTCACGAAGTGTCCAGTCCAGTCCGCAGCCGCAGCATGAGTGTACATGGGGTGTTTTAGCTTCACGGTACTGAACTGAAAAAAACAATTGTTACAGAGGGAACGTTTCATCAAGTGACAAAGCCAGGTAACGTTTACCCATGCCACCTACCCCATGCAAAAGGATAGGGCCATCACAAACAGGTTGCATAACCAAGCGTTTCCTGGTTTGGTTGCGTCCAGAAACGTTTCCCCGGTAACATTAGTTTTCCCAGTGTGTGCCTCGCCGCCTGCACCCGGGCCAACAACGACCTTGCGGGTGCACGTGCCCCGGCCAGGTGCGAGCGCGCGACACGACTGCGGCCGGCGGGAAAATTCAATTTGAATAATTTTGACGGCGCGAACAAGGTGTGGGGTGAAAGCGGAGGAGAAGGTTACAGTTTGGAGAGGAGGGGTACGAGGAGGGGCAAGACGGGAAGGAGAAGGCAAGGAGAGGAGGGGGGCGCATGAGTGCAAGGTATACGGGGGGTGACAAGGCGGAGGAGGGGGAGCTCGCGCGCTCCCCTCCGGACCGTCGAAAGGGATTTCTGACGAAGCTTGCACCGGCGGAAACGCCAACTTTGGACATGGTCATTAATAAAACGGGGGGCCCAGCTCTTCATGCCCCGCGCGAGCCCCTCCAGCCACGCCCCACCACGCCCCGCCACGCCACGCCCCGCCCCACCACTCACGGGCGCGTCTCTTAGACCTCTCCGAGCAGACCATGCCAGTAGGCAGAGGATTCAGCAAAACATCCAAGGGTCCTTCGGATTAAAGAGGCCCCCCTCTCTCTCTCCGTTCTCGTTTTTCATCCCAGCCGTGAAGAACGCCCCTCTCCCCACAACCAGCTCTCCCCTTACGTCTCCATCTCACTCTCCCTTCCTGCCCCCTTCCTCATCCTCTCCCTCTCTCTCACACACACACACACAGCCTTTGCTAGACTTCCTCTCTCCATAGTGTCCAAGCACACTGTGTCCAGCTGATTCAGGGGGACGCCCCAGCACATCAAGAAGCACCCGGACGACATGGTGGTGGCGGCGGTGTCAGCTTTTGCTCCTAGTGTTTGGTGCAGCAGCCAGCAGGGTGGCGACCACGCCCAGACAAAATATCTTACACTGATAGTATCTTTTCATTGAATTTAAACCCCCCAAAAACTAAACCACCACTAAGAAGCCCGATGCATCACAGCACGCCTCTTTCCCGCAGTCACCAACTTTCTAAGAACTTTTGCAAAGACAAAATATTTGCGGAGTATATCGACGTCGGATTACGGCAGTGCAGCAGCAGGTCTCACTACGTTGGGAGCGCGAAGACGAGCGACTATAGGGGCGAGCGCAGGGATGTGTATGGGGGAGAGAGAGAGAGAGAGGGGGGGGGGGCTACTAGCCTCACAGCCAGACGGGGCTCCGAGTGAAATTTGGCAGTTGCAATTAAGGCTCGCCTCCGCCTCGTTCGCTGCTCTCGCACTTGGTTCCGCTCTGAGGGACGAGAGAAAAGGGAGGGGGGGACAGAGAGAGAGAGAGCGAGAGAGAGAGAGAGAGAGAGCGAGCTCGAAGGGAAGGGAGCAGGGGGATTTCACTCTCCTTGTAGGGGCCCCGCCGCCAGGGCCGAGGCCAGAAGGGCGCGCTATTGGTCGGCGGCTGCGCTCCCCGCTTTGAGGGGAAGGTACGGCCTCCTCTGAATAAAGTGGAGGAGGCCGGGGCGTGGCGGGTCCGGGGCGGGGCGGGCGCGTAGCACGGAGCCCTTACCGTTGCCAGCCAGGCGGTGTCGCGTTACTCTATGAGAGACGGCCGCCCGCCCCAGCCGGTCGCTATCCGATTCAGTTTCCACATAGTTCAGAAACGGCGGCGGCGGCGGCGGCAGCGGCAGCTCTGCTACACCCTGCCCCACCTCGCCACGCCCGCGGGCCGCGCGCGCTGCGCGCTCGGAATCGAAAAGCACGTCGTTAAACCGAAATCATTGCCATGAGAAAGCAAAGTAGTTTACGCCCGCGGCGGGGTGTGGCAGCAGAGCTGAGGGGCGGGGCGGGCAGAGAGAGGCCCGGGGTGTGGCGGGGGCTTCCGGCTAATTGCAGTGAAAGCTCTCTGGCGGGGCGGGACAGACGGCTGGGCGGCGCACATACATTATGCATCCGGCCCGGTCGGTCAGGCATCCCAAAGGCGTGGCG